GCGTCTGCATTTTTTATATTTTTTTATTATTTTTTTTTTATTTTAGTATTTCTTTATATTACTTTATATTTCATTAATTTTTTATTTTTATTTATTTATTTTTTATCTATTTATTAATTTATATATTTTTTATTTTATTTATTAATTTATTTATTTATTTAATCAAATTATTTTTGTTAATAATTTCATTTACTACTTTTATGCTGTTTATAAAATCTAAAGTGAAAATCCTAAATAAGTTAGTAAAAGAACAACAAGCACGTGTTTGTTTATTTGAAAAAAAATAAACAAGCTTCAAAATAATTTCTATCTGTATATATTTGAATCACTAGAGTATTTTTGAACATATGACATATGTTTCAACTTTTTATTGGGCTATGCCGTGTTATTTTTTCTTTCTTTCTTCTCTCTTTCTTTTTTCTTTCCTTCTTTCTTTCCTTCTTTCTTTCTTTCTTTCTTTCTTTCTTTCTTTCTTTCTTTCTTTCTTTCTTTCTTTCTATATCTTTGTATATAATTATATTTCTTTTTGTCTGTTAGTTTGTGTTACTTGTGGTATTAAAGAGTCTTCAATAAATTCTCTGACAATGTCGATATATATAGCAGTAACACTGATTTGCACTATAAGTATTGCTCTTTAAAGTCAGATCACTGATACAATTATTGAGATTTTCACTTAAGCGCACTAAACAGCCAATCTACCCTATAAAACTATGTTTTATGTCAAGAAATAAAAATAGATCATTCTTAAACGAGGTACCTAAGAAGCACATTTCTCCCATATTATTTCTTGATATGTCACCTCACTTATTATAAAACCTGCAACTGCTCATAAATGTCTACGAATCCTAGTAATCAATTACATACAAAAACAAAGTATCAAATTAGGAATAAAGATAACCATGCAATGTTTATTTTTCTCTTTAAAGTCAAAAGATAAAAGAAAAAACAATATATTTAATGTGTCTTACACAGCTTATAGTTGATAGATAGATCTTACGGCGGAATTATCTTTTAAAACAACATTATTTGTCTTTCATCTTCGGGTTTATCTGCGCAGGGACGTGTCAAATACACACAGCACGTTTTTCACGACATTAGCGACATGAAATATTGTAATTGAAAACGGAAAGACGACACGGAGTACAATATTAGTATAATCGATTGTTTAATGATATATGGAACGGCGAATAATGTAAGACACGCTGGCACGAAATGTGAAAGCACGGCTTAAATTGTATGAATAACAATCAGCAAAGAAGACACCGTATTAAATGGGATGAGACTAACTGCTACGGAGTCTTCAGACAAAAAGGCATACATTTTTATAACAGTTTGAAACTGTGTTACAACTGATTATCCACACCACAGTAAAGAACGATGCTCGTTTCCTTTACAAATGAAAGCGAAATTCGCTATCATAGTATGTATACAATTAAATTCAACGCTTAATTATTAGTTCTTAATCAGTGTATAAAAAATGTTAACACTACTATAAATCACAACTAAAAGTTATAGTTGTTGCAAACTCAAATTAACTATATAAAATGTATATTGCAAATATTTTTGGTCCTGGAAAGGAGGGAAGTAATTGAGACATATCTTTATAAAGTAAACTAGTATATGATGAATATAATACAATGAAAAAAATGGCTACGAGAGGCCCGTATGGCATGGTTGGTTTTATGATCGCCATTTTTTTTTTTTTTTTTTATACAAAGTTTATAATGTTTTGTAAAAATATGTTTTCTGGTGTCAACCGTGACGAAACTATTTGTCTGATACCGTGGTATCACAGTCTCTATTTTGAATTATGATTTGTTAAATTAGCAACAGATAGGGTACTAGGGAACGATATTTGCTAGGTCTTATTATTTGTGAACTGAAGCGGATATCCGATCATTACGAAATTAATTCTGTCATTCCGTCTGCCTTAGATTCAAGATTAAATTGGACTTATCTGAATAGGTGCTAATGAATGACATGTACATGTCAGTATCGGTAATTTAGCCCCTTTTCAAAACCAATTACGATCTAGATCTTGTAAAATGAACACTTCCGAAATTCATTAGTTTCAGAAGATTTACAAGTACACACGTACAAGGACATATAAATTGCTCGTAATCAAATGAACAATGTTCGAAAATCCTTTGTGATTGGTAATTTTGCATGACATGACACAAAAATTTGCATTTTTTAGAATTTACAGACGTATAAATGTTTTACAGATTTCTGTCTGTCAAAAACACTCTCAAAAATGCATAAGCGTCTTATAATTTTGTCCCTTTTAATATCAATTTTCATACATTCCTTTTGTTTGCTGTGAGCAGAATCTTCTGTTAGTAGTAGAATGTTAAAAAAACAGCAGTTATGTCTCAAATGTCATGCGTGTATGCTTATATTTTAAAATGGTTTTGTATGCCAGATAAGAAAAAGGACGAAGCGTCTTCAATTATACCAATATGGACAACAGACGGTCGAGAGATCCATAAACCATGACTACCTTCTCACTGCAATATTAACATTTTTGTATATAACCCTTACACCTCTGAATGGCTTAAATGGACTTGTCCATCTTTAACACTGGACAAGACCATTCTTTGTTTTAGGTGAAATTCTAATAACAAATGTACTTGAATAGTAAACAATGCAGACCATGATCAGACGATACAGATGGTCGTCTGCATTGATCGCATGGGTAAATTTTGTAGTCGCAAGGCGCATGCGCATTTATAAATAACTCCATAAAAGACGCATGCGCACTTAAATGTAAATTCTTATATGACGCATGCGCATTAAAAAATAACTTCAAGAGAAACAAGCATACATCTAGGATTATCTTGGAACGCTGGTGATCATGTAATAAAACTTGTTACATGTATGTCAAATATGCAGACGACATGTTACTTTTCACAAAGTTATGATAACAAAGACAAAAACAATAGACCATATACGTCAAATACGTCGAAAAATCGGAGAGCAAAAACAACTTTGATATATCGAAGTTTACATGCAGACAAACTGAGGTCTATGCATAACGTCAGTTTTTGACAAGAAGTATCGTGTATAAATCGAAGCCATGTCAGTACTAAAAGTGGATAAGATATCAGATTTGTTTAAGATCGGGGGAATGTGGTTTGTAATCAGCATGTAATTGTAAAGATAATGAGTTAGTGTATCACATGACACGTAAGGATAATCGTGTCTGACGTATCGCGTGACTTACTAAACGTAAATAATCTACCATGTCTCCTAGAAAAAACTTCTAATTTGTAAGCATTATCTTAAAATATTATTTAGATATCAGGCGAGGGAAACTGATACGCAAATAGTCGTAATCTATACACCAAAACAAACAGTACATTTGACATTGTTTTGTCATTATTTTTCTTGATTTTTATTTATTTATTTAATTATTATCTATTAAACGCGGACGTTAACACACTTTTGGTCGTACCACAGCGGCCGGAGCACCGGGATAAGTAACCAGTAACCAATGTCTCCACTAGTGACTGAAGGTAAATCCTAAATGTTGTTAAAGAACATTTTGTGGCCATCGCGAATATGCTCATTACTTTCTATATATTTATTTATCATTCTCAGGCGGTGGGAGATAATGAATTTTGATAAAAGAGCTCCTAACTGAAATTCTTCCATATCAATTTTTTTTCAAAATTAAGAGTTAATCTAATTTCATCAAAATCAACTTAGAGTTATCGTTCTTTATATTGATTAAGAATGATATTAAGAACGACAACTCTGTACTGAGTACGGATTTGATAAGATTAATAACCCCATCCCTTTCAAACATGTTTTAATTACACAATTTTATGTGAAATGAAGGTTTTTGGCAAAAAAGGGGTTCATAATATTACAAGTCCCAAGGAATCGACAAAAAATCGACTAATTTCGTATAATATCGTTAGAAACCAGACAACGTTCGTCTTATTTCGGAATTTTTCGTGATAACTATATATATTGAGTTTATTTGTGTCACGTAAGAGAGGGAATGTCCCGATGTGACGTCATTATTTGATAAAATTACCAATATGGCGAATCGTTTTCATGCTCATTTAGATATATAATTCTTAGTTCTAGGATCATTCACTATATAAGTTCTAAGACTAACATGTGCTAGCCCTGTATGAAAACGTTTTCTTTTGGTCGTTTCAAACAATCAAAATAGCAAACTGGGAAGAAAAACGGATTTCTTGAAAATGTTTTGTTTAAAGATTCCATGTTCGTATGTTTCGGATTTATTTTATTAAGACACATGATGAATAGTACATTCTAATTACTTCGATTTTGTTGTGCGCGATTTATGTAAAATTGTCTTAGCTTTTCAACTATAATTAACATATTGAAATCTTTACGGCATTTAATATCGCTTACAGCATTGATCAAGATTAAGTATCAGCATGAAAATCATAATAGATCATGAAATTCATTGATCTAGCACATATTTTAACAACATTAATTTTCAAATCGTGTTGCCAGAAGATAATTAAAGGAAATTAAAGGGAAACTGTTTGTCGGAAAAAAACTATAAATAAAAACGGTATTATCACATCCTTTTAATTGAAAAATGAAATGGATTATTGGGGGTTTTGTCTTTCTTTTTCTAGTTAATCTTAGCAAAAGTACGATCATTTCACATCAAAGACCATAGAAAATTTAAAATAATTATTGCTCGTGGCTTTTCAAAAATAAAACGCCACAAAGTTAGTATAAACCACCTAAAAGGACATGCACTAATATATGACTATTTTAATAGATATAGTCCAACCCCTACATAGCGGTAACCCTGTAGAACAATAATCTTTTAACGTCTTTAATAAAAATGACGTCATGATTAAAAATCAATTCTCCAAGGAAGTTATAAATGTGCACCTCTCTTCATTACTCTCTTCAAAAAATCTTCGTACACCGAAAGGGCGTTGCTACACCCAAAGGGTGTTGCTAAGCAGAGGTTGTACTATATGTACAGGTTTTATACGACTTACCTGAATAATCAAGTCCAATTTTGGCCTTGAATTCACTCGTTTTTGGACTGATATCTGGTAGCTCAAACTTTATATAATCCTGCGTTATATTCTTTGCTTGATGCGTTTCTCTGAAAGTGCAATTATTAAAAAAAGTGACCCTACATAACAAATATGAATATACAAAAGTGTTTAAATAGAATACAAAATACAAAAATAGCTCTTATCAACTGTAGAAGGAATCTTATAATGTCACCTTAACTACATAATTATCAAAACAAAGTTATGGCAATGTAAATGAAATTGCCATTCCCGTATTATTAGCTTACGTCGTCAAATTTATGATTACGTTATATTTACATCCCGTTAGATATAAATCCAGTCACTGAGTGGTACACCAATTTAAATACCGCCATTCTGGTAAGTTAATTAGGAATTACGGTAAGAAACAAGAAACGTTTTCATTAAAGCATATTTGAACTTTCATAGGCTTGATATATCATATTGCTCGCGGAAACTTATAGCTCAAGCGGACGATACGTATCCCGGTCTTCTATTTTTGGAAACGAACGCCAATGAGTAGTTATAAGTAGATCTCGGGACGTTGTTTTGAAGAATGCTTAACAGTGATATGATGCACTTTTCCAAGATAATATTACTGAAATACTTAGACTGAAACAGCAAAGAATTTTTTTTTCGAACAAAAAATAAAAGCTGAAGGCCGCTTTAATGATGCACAAAAAATCACGTGACAATTAACTAAATTACCTCATTCCATAATGAATATCGTTTGCTGCAATGTGACAAAACTTGCTCGATATATTAGTCTGACCGTAGGGATCATAGACGAGGATTAACTTCCTCCAGTTATAGTACATGAGCACATCGGCAAAGAAGTTCACTAGCGTGTTAAAGTTCGAGCCTATACGTGTCATCATACTGTACATTTTGGCCTTGCCGATTCCAAAATCCCCGGCCAACCCCCCTGCTGTAATCATTGGTATATTCCAGAACACGACCTGAAATGATATATGATTATATGTAATTACATGTGATTATATGTAAATACGTAACATGATAAAAAATGTTCATTACAAAGCACAATTTTTAGGTTTTCGGTTATATTCAAAATAATTTAATTGAATCTAGCAAATGCAATTGTACAAAAAATGAAATATTAGGAGTTAACAAACATAATAAACTGTATTGCAAATGATATACATGAAAGTGTTAAGTCTGTAAGTGGCATAGCACACAATAAATTATTGTTATTTATTAAAAAAAAACATTTTGTTAGTGTGTGTTTTATGTGTGGAACATACATTATCGTCTGCTGTTGTTGTTGTTATTGTTATTATTATTATTATTATTATTATTATTATTATTATTATTATTATTATTATTATAATGATGATGATTATTATTATTATTATTATTATTATTATTATTATTATTATTATTATTATTATTTATTATTATCGCTATCATCAGGTATACTTAATCATAATTATTATTAGTTTAGAAGTTTAGTCAGTAAAATAACAGAACGATATTCCGAGAGTTTAGGGTTTGAATTCCGGTGACACTGCACTTTTTTCACACCCTATGCCATCTACAAAAATATCAGATAACAAAGTTTGATTAAGGTCATAAATGAACATATCAGTATTTAGAAGAATTTACGCGGATTCATGAATTTGTGACGCAACAGATACGTGAATAATAGCGAGAAATTAAAACAACGCGAATATTACCGGATTTACAGTATTTATAAATGATATGGATGTTCATACAAAATTTATACACTAAATTTATATAGTAGGACTAACCTAATAGAAGACCTCGTCAAGAATATTTCTTCACGTGCATAATTCACCTATCTACATACCGCCAAAATAAACTGTGCATGCCGATTTACATAAACGGATAAGAAATCATGCTTTCAACGGATAAATCATGCGAGCACGCGCTATTGTTGCACGTTTTTTATGAGCGTGACTAAGAGCGCCATGTACAATCGACAGCTCCGGTAATTTCATTATCAAAACAACTGCCTAATGACATCCCACTCGCACGTGAAAAACCTGAAGGAACCAGTTTCTTTTTACGAAAATCAAATAACGAAACGTTAAATTTACAAATAAGACGATTTTTTTTTAGTTTTTTTTTAAATTTTATTTTATTTTATTTATCTATTTATTTATTTTTTGCTAAACTAGCGAATGCACTTTTTCGAGTATTAGCTAACGCCTGCAGAAGCTCCAAATCTTCGTGCATCTGCAGATTTTATTACACGAAAGAAATAAGGGACATTATTACGAAATAGCGGTGGGGACATTTCTTCATGAATTTACGATTTCATCTTCGTTAATTCATAATTTTAACCTCGTGAATTCACGTTTACAACATACGCAATTCTCGAATCCGTGAAGTTGAAATCGTGAATTCGTGAAATTGAAGTTGTGAAAGATGAAATCGGGAATTCATGAAATTGAAATTGAAATGTTCCCACCGATCTTTCGTATTGTTTTCATTTGTTAAGAATTAATGCTTTGAAATATTTATCAGAACAGTCTTCTATGTAAACGAAATTTGAAAAATGTCACTGAACTTCTCAACAAAGATATATCTCTTTAAACACATTAAGCTTGTCAGGTTATTTCATTTTATCTGTTTCTATGCAATTCGACCTGGATTCAGACGAAATACGGAACTTCACCAAATAGAACATTTATCTTGAAAATTTATTTCTTGTCCAGCCACGTCAAAAGGCCTCAGTGAAGTGCCTTTAATTTTTTCTAAAATCTTTAAATCATGCGCTTATATTCGTGGGCTAATGGAATGATTGATGCCATTGCAACACCACGTTCAATGACATATGTGCTACGTTATTAAATGTTGATTAAGTCATTTTCCCAGTATTTGAATGAACACTTTATTGCGTTAATAACACATCTTGATGGATTGGTATCAATAAACCGGGCTTTAGGTTCTAATTAGTACTTATTTTGAGCTGACATGACAGAATTCGATATAAAATAGCTCGATAACTTTATAAATTTCAATCAAGGAATCCTGTAGATATACATGTTTATTATATCAAATGTAAATTACACTATTTTAATTTAATTAAAATGATTGATTGATGAACATGTATTTACATGTAATGTGGATAAACGAAGAGCTATCGAGTGTCGACAGAGACATGAATTTTATTAGTATTATTACATTTATTTGTTGGTATGATAATATGTAATTTTTTGCTTGGGTAAGGGCATGATTTATGCGTTTATATAAAGTCCGGTAAAAGTCGTTTTAATCCGAATGTCACAATTAGGGTCCAATGACATAAAATATTTTATCTGTGCATAAAATATCATTTATTTGACCAAGAAGTGAACAAAACTTTACAAAAAAGACATTTTAGAATGTGTTGATAGTCGAACTTCTGAATATAAATAAATTATTCTGAATGTCATTTTGACATTTGCAGTAAAATCCAGAAAAATGCAGACACTGGGGGATTCCACTGAGTTTTCTTTTAACAAGACAGGACAAATCAATGTTGTTTTTTCTGATTAACATGAAAGCATTTGAATAAGTTTTTTTCAAAATTTTAGTTCACTCGTTCGGTCTGCTTGTCCATGATAAAATGCTTTAACCATGAAAAATGACGCCAAACGTGTTTAAACGCTTTAAATGGTAATAGCCGTGAAGAATTTCACAAATATGATTCTTACAAATAACATTTATCCTAAATTAATGTGGTTATTAGTATATTTCCTTATATTTTGCATATAATTCCTTTTTTCTTAGTGGGGATGTTTACGTCACACGAACACTGTATTGACCATGTGGTGCCCTTATGCTTCACTTGCTGTGGAAGACCTCAAGTGCCCCTCTGTGCGTTATTTCAAGCACAAACGGGCATCTGAGTAGAACCATCGGCGTAATCTTCTTGGATAGCTTCCTCGCCTTAAAAATCTGAAGGCTCGAACCTACAGCGGTAAGACGCAAGTGGCCTAAAGACAAAAACCTTAGCCAACCGCCACTCGGTCTAGGAAACTCCCGACTTTCCCTGTTTAAATTCCCGAATTAACCTTTTGAAGTATTTATTATATTAAACTTTAATGTTTTAGGCTGTTGAACCTCAGTGGATTTCCTTTCATAATTTTTTTTTCTTAAGTTTGGAAACACCTAACACGTTGGGATAAATTTGTTATTTTAGAAAATATGTTATATGCATACATATTAATGTCACTGTAAGAAATACATATTATTAGTTAAATGCCAAGAGATTTTCCAACGTTCAGATATTCAATACATTATCAAGATGAAGTGAATTGAACTAAAAAACTAGAAGCTTATTGAAATTCTCTCAAGTTCTTTGATATACGATGTCTGTCCAATTAAGTCATGGACAACCGCGTTTAAATACAAAATATTGAACGGACTTCTCGTATATTAATAGAATGCATTATTTTATGTTCATTTACATATGTTTGTGTGTATGTGTGTCTTTTTGTATGTATGTTTGTTTGTGTATTAGCTTTCAAGTTTCAAGTTTTATTGAATTGCATTATAAATACTCAAACATGAGACACATACGTTTGTATAATAATTACTCACGCTTCATGTTTTAAATTTTAAATAAATGGA